TTAATGATCGCACAGAATTTAACCCCAAACCCATATTTTTCAAATGTTTTGATCAGAAATGCATGTTCTATGGAGTCAAATGCTTTGAAAAAATCAATGAACAGAATAAAGCCTTGTGTTTCAATGAGGGATTGATAGTCTAGCATATCTAATATTAGTCTGACGTTGTTATGAATATTCCTACCTTTAATGAAAGACTGGTACTCAATTTCGGATTTACTTAACTTTTCTTCTAGATTATTTTTTTCCCTCTCATTTAATATTTTTATTTTGTCTTTGACCAGTCCAAAAAGGAATTCACACTCCCATTTCTTGGAAATTCGAGAAAAGCCATATATCCTCATTTACTTGTTTAAGGTCTTCAATTATTAGATTATTTTTCTTCAGTTTACAAATCTTCTCTTTACTTTGTTTGTGCTTTTCTAATCCAAAGAAGTAAGCTGAATTTTTTTTCTCCATGTTCGAGCCACCTGGCTCTTGATCTTACGCCCCGTTTGCCTTTTCTTAGTAGAGTTCATCTAACTGAAGCTGAAGGGCATGTAATTTAGCCTTTTCCTCCACTAAAGGTTCCGATTTATTACATATTTTGTTCATGTTTTCAATTAACTGTTTCTGTTTACATTTTCTTTTTTGTGATAAGTTCTTTTCCAGTTTCTATTGCTATCTGTTTAAGTTTGAATGTGAACCATTCCCATTTATTTAGGTGAGACATTTCGAGCATACTTTGAATACTTTGATATAAGACTTTAACCTGACTCAGAAGTGTTGAAGTGTTTCACCTGTTGTCATCGCTGCACAGGTGGAGGCACGCATGCGCAGTCCGTTCTGTGCATCTTCACGGGTAAAATCATCTTCCCATCCTTCATCACTACATTTCTGCTCCATAAAGGTGGCGGGAGTTAATCAGGACTGTACCGGAACTGTAGTGTAGTGTTCCCTTTCAAAATAAGACAGGTTATGACGAATTAACGGCTTAAATATTATATTATAAAATTATATTCTAATGAGAAACTAGAGGACAGTGGGTGTCTGTGTTTGTGAAGTTCAGAATTAAAATATGTGATGTGATTTGGAATCAATGCTTTAATTCAGGGATGTATTTTTATGATCTTCAATCTTTTATGAACTACTTTTAATGTAACTATTAATGTAAAGAAAGGTCACGTCAAGACTGTCACTTCAGATAAGAAGTAACTTAATAGTTGTATATATCTAAGTGTATTCACTTCACATCATTCTGTTAATGCTGTCAATATCCTGCTAGTATATTGATATATATATATATCAATATTGTTTTTTTTAATATATCCCTGTACATATGCACATTACTCTGCACTTGAACTGCATTTGGTTGTCTAGTACTTGTACTTTGTGCAATCACAATGAAGCTGAATCTAAACTAATCTAATAAAATAAGATACAACACAAAAGATAAGAAAATACACATGAAATACAATTAACAAAAAAATACAATTAAAACAAATAAAAAAAAATAAGATTAAGAGTTATATACTCTTCCATAAAGCTGTAAGAGACAGATTTTGAAGCTGATGAATTTTCCTTTGCGGTTTTATTTTGAAGGTCTTTGGCTTTAGCTCCTGTAGCTCCGCAGTCGGTGTCCAAGCTGTCAGAGAGGAAGCGGACCGAAGTGGACCTACTGGGGTTAAACATCAGACCGGACCCCTCTGGAATGAGGTCTGGGTGAGTACGGCAGTTTGTGACTTTAATATCCGACCGTTAGCCTCGATTTAAACCCCCCCACCGACCCCCCCACCGTGTTTACAACCGGGGCTTAACGGAGCTGTGAATATGGCTGCACACCGTCTTCTCTCGGTCATCTTTAAAACTCATTTATTCACATTTATTCACCTTTAACGGACACAAACTGGTGTTTTTTGCGGTGTATATGTTTATATGTGGTTGTGTGTTGGGTGCTAACGTTATGTGTTAGGGTGGGATTGGGGAAACCCTTCAAAACAAGAGCATATTTGTGTTATTGTGAAGGAATAAATACACCAATAAATCAGCAATAATCAGGTGTTTGACAGCAAAGTGATGCTTCATATTCCCCCAGTTTTATCCTCGGATCAAATGTAGGCCAGGTCAGATGAATTAATATTTAATGTAGATTATTTTCAGATATTTTATATTTAAAAAAGAAATAAAAGAAATAAAAGGGAAATATGTGTGTAGGCGGGAATAGATGGTCTGTTATTGGTCGTGTTGGTATGAGTAATAAGCAGTTGTAGTACAGTCAGTAGTAGTAAGCCTCAATCCTCCTCCTGCTGTGTAATCTGCTGTGGTCGGGGCAGGTGGGCGGGGCTTACAGGTAGACCACACCTGGCAGGGGCGCGTCATCACGAGCTGCAGGTAGATCACTATCAGAAAACCTACAAATCAATTAATCAGTAGTATTAGCAGGAGTGGTGGAGTGTTTAAGATCAGTACGTCTCAAATATTGTGCTTTATACTTCACTGCATTGAGATTTGTATACGAAATATATTATTATTATTAAAATGTGATGTTTTATTAAAAAGTATCAATTAAACTGGCAGCTTTTTCTTTTAATAATTGTAATCATTTGAATGTATTTGTAATAGTTTTAAGGTTTGGATTGGAAGCGTTGAAGTTGTCATTAGATCTGATACTGAGCTTATTTACTTGTAATCATAAAACTACGACTAGCAGATGAATCTATAATGAAAATAAACGAGCTCCAGCTCTATAATCTTTATTTATTTAACTAACTTTAAAATATTAAAAACAAACAGAAACAACAGCTGCTGAGTTTCCTTCATATACTACAAACTGTTTTCACCTGTAAGAATGTAAAATATGTCTTAAATTGCTAAAAAAAAAAAGGTCTTTAGAAGTCTTTAACCTGTTGATGCAGAAACTCCCATTTAAAGACCTCTCTTTAATACATTGAGCCATCCTGTTGAGTATTTTAAATGAATTGAATGTCCTTTCTGTGTCAGCGTTTACAGAACCAGACGAGATCAATAACGAGAACCATGGTGACCAAGAAAATCCGGACGGAGTACATGAAGAAGTTCAGGGATCCCAAATGGGAGACGTTCTCCAAATGCTACGAGGACTCTCTGAAGTATCGTCTGACCCGGCGGGTGATGGAGCATTCCCACAAGCCCTGGTTCTGGGAGGGTTGGGACAGCGTCTCGGACTCCAGCGGCTGGTCCACGCCGAGGCCGACCAGGAACAAAATCGCCCCTCTGTCCCTCCCGGCGGCGCCGCCACCGCTGCCCACCTCAGAGGGGAAGCAGAGGCTGTCCAGCCCCGGGCCGAAACCGCCTCCGGAGGACGGAGAGACCGAGGTGGAAGCCGGTGAGGCGGCGGCCCGAGACGCTGCACCGGCTGCAGGTGAGGAAAACTGTACTTTACTTTCATTAACAGTGAACTGATTAATCGATCGATTGATTAGTCAATAAACAGAAGCTCCTTTTCTCTGTTGTAACCTGAATATTTTTTCGGGGGGTTTTGGATTAAAGAAACAATTTGATAAGAAGATAAGCTTTTAGGCATTTAGATTCAAATGTTATATATTTTTTAAATTTGTTAATAAAATAAACAGACAGATTAATAATTATTAAATCTAATTTAAGCTCCATTAAGTACAAACATTCAGAAACTTTACATAAGGGGGACCACGAAAGAAAATACATGTGCATTAAATAGAATATTAGAGCTGCTTCTTATTACTGTTTTCACTATTTATCAATCTGCTGATTGATTTCTCGATTGATTGTTTCTAAAATGTCTGAAATTATTGAAACCTTCCCGTCACAAGTCTTCTTAAATCTTTAATTTACAGTCATAAAGAAAACCAGCAAATATTCACATTCGAGTCTAAACTGTAAAAAAAAAAAGACACAAAACAATTAATTGATTATCAAAATTAAATAGTTGCAGATTCATTTTCTATCCATCAACTAATCGATTGACTAATTCAACTAATGACTAAAAACCTGCAAACATTCCCATTAGCCAGTGTTAGCATTTAGCTCAAAGGACTTTTAGTTTCTCTATTCTGATGATTTATAGATTAATTAAAGAAACTAAACAACAGAAAAATAATCGTTAACTATTAAAAATATATAAATTAAATTCAGGACATTAATCTTCACACTTTCTGGCTCAAAACAACGCAGCAAAACGTTTATTTAAAGCACCTTGTGTGTAGGATTTAGTGCCATGTAGCTGTAACTGAACACCGCTCGCGTCTGTATTCGGCGACCAGAGGAATGAGAACGGGGCTGGGAAGTGAGTAAGGAGGAACTGTGTCCCCTGTTTGTCCTGGTTCTTCTGGTTCTTGTCCCGCTTCCAGGAATATTTCGGGATAATCTACCAAACCCCCTCAAAAGGAGTTTGTTTGTGCTCCTGTCTGACAGTTTGAGGGCCAGAGGCTGGTTTACCTCCGGAGACTCTGATGCTAAAAATATTTCTGTACTGAAGGTTCAGTGATCAGAGGGACGGTTTCAGACTGCGAGCTCGGATATAAAAGACCTATTGTGTCTCAGGAGAGCGTCTGGGGACCGGCTCTGAATGTCCGAAGGTCTATAAGCTGTAGATTTAACAAAATAACAAACCTGAGTCATCTTCTGAGCAGTGATCTCTCATGTGTATTCTGTATATATGAGTGTGGAAAAGTGTCATTAATATTGTGATAAAGTGCGTTTAACTGACAGTAGATTGATGTTATTCACAGAAACTATGTTCCTGAATCAAACCGCGTTTATGTAAACACCTAAAATTAATAAAAAAGGAGGCTGAGCTGTAAACGACTGATGGAAAATGAAAAGAAAATCTTTCTTTAATAATAATAATTTCTGTCTCAGTTGTAGAAAACGGCGTGAATGAAGCCAGCGGCGGTTCGATGGCGGCGGCTCCAAACAGCGGACCCTCAGACGACACGGCGACAGACAACGGTCCCGCTGACACAACGTCTTCTGACGGGGAGCCGGTGAACCCGGTGCCCAAGCGACGCCACCGCCGCCGCACCCCTCGGTCCGAGCCGGGGAACCGGGACAGTTCCCACGACGACAAACCGGCTGTCGTCCGCAAACCGCCGAGAGCGAAGAGCCAACCACCGATCAGCACCAAGGAGAACCGGCGGCCGTCCAGCAGACTGGACTGGACCGAGAGACAGACGGAGGTCAGGAGGACGCAGAATGAAGTGAGTGTTTGTTCTCGCCGAAGACACGTTAAAGGTTTTAGCGTAATATGTAATTTCTCACATGAAAACAATAACAAAAGAGGAGGTTTGGTGAGGTGGTGAAGCAGCATCAGCTTCTCCCGGTTAGGATTC